AAATTCTATTTTGAAGCTCCAACCCACAATGTGATGTATTTGGAGACAGGGCCTTTGTAGAAGGGTAGGGCCCTGATCTAACAGGATGGTGTTCTTATAAAAGGAGATACTGGAGACCTTGATATCTCTGTCCACCACGTGGGGACACAGAGAGAAGGGTAAGCCAGCCTCCTCCATGATCAGAGAGCAAATCACCTGGCACCTTGACCTTGGACTTCCCAGCCTCCAGAACTGTGAGAAACAAATTTCTGTTGGGTAAGCCTCCCAGTGTATGATGTTTATGTTACAGAAGCCCAAACATAAGATGCTATGTAGGCTCAGGAAGGATAAAGTAGATATAATTCAATGAATGGCATAAAAACAAATTAATGAAGTAATATGAAGAATGTCCCCAGATCTTGGACTAAAAGGATAGAAAAGGAAAAAATAGTAATAATGAGGGAAAGTTGTGACATGAGTACCAGGTGGCCTAATCTACACCTAAGAAGAAATCTCAGGAAGAAAGAACAAAATGAGGCAGATGCAGTGGTCAGAGGTTAACCAAAATAATGTTTCCTAAAGTAAGACTATACCTAATATAGGTCAGAACAAACACAGAGAGAAGGAACCGGGATATAGAGAGGGTTTGTAGGGGGCGAGAGGCATTTGCTTGTTTGTTTTAATGTCAAGGATGGGGCAGGAGATATTTCCAAGTCTAAGCACCATCAGGGAATCAATAAAGGCACAGAGGCAGGCTGGACTCAAACTAGTCCTCTGAACCTAAATGGAAGAAAAAAAAAAAGGGCAAAGAGCAAGTTGTTATCCCTGTATGAATACAAAATACAAACATTTTCAGATAGGCAAGAAATTGGAAAGTACATCATGGGTATTAAAACCACAGCTAACATCCCTAACACACACAAAGAGCTCCTGCAAATCAATAAGAAAACGTCTTCCTCCTGTACATTCTCTACTATACACGCTCTAGTCCACAGTCATGGGTCCCACTCTACAGATAGGCCTTATCCATATGCCAGCTGGTACTGGAGTATGGGATTCCATACTCTCTACCTGCCATGGAGACCTCTTATTTCAATGTCTCAGCGTTTCAAAGCCTGAGCACCAAATGCAGCCAACGTTTCTCCACCCATTTTTTACAAATACCCCTTTACCATTAGCATCACCCCACCCCTGAGAAAACACCCAGGGCGGCCAGCCTCCTGCACAACAGTCCAGGTCACAGCCCTAGCCACACCCTGCAGCATGCTTACCTGTGGTGCCTGCATGCTCAGTACCTCCCAGCCATTCCAGCCCTAATAACCTAACTGCCCTACAGTCTATCTCAGTCAGGAGGAGAGGCTCCACCGCAGACCCCAGCTCCCCTCAAGTCAGAGTGACAGGCTGAGAACACTGAAGTCTTGTCCCCTGTCCCAGCTCCCCAGCTGGGTGGGACCAAAGGAACAGGGAGAAGCCCCTGGCAGCAGGGCTGGAAACCACAGAAGGATGCATCCACTTGCCAGGAATGTTGCCGTTGCCTCTGCGGGAGGCAGTGGAGGCAGGTCAAGGTGCGGGGGACCTCCGGGAACTCTGGCAGAGCCCCAGATGAGGAGGGCGGGCCAGGAGAAAGGCAGGCCGCAGGGGTGCAGGGAGACCCGCCGCTTCCAGCACCCCAGCATCCCAGGCCTTGGTACTGCCCCTGCAGGCTCCTGCTTGGAAGCAGACACCAGGAAAGGGTGGGGGACTCAACCTTGGCTCACAGGGCTGCTGTCCCACCACACGCCACTCGGAAGTGACTGCGCAGCACGGGGATGGGAGTGGCTGCTGTGACCACACTGAGCCCTGAACGTCTCCCTCCGCACCCCCAGCCACGGACCCTGAGCCGGAAGTGCATGCAAGCCTGTCCCTCTCCCTTTGCTGGGCCTCTCTCGAACCCTGACAGGACCTGTCATTGACTTGAAATGCACCCAGTCAGGCAAGCAAGTCAGTGCTAAATATGAGTGTTATGGAAGGAATGTGTCCCCCCAAATTCTATTTTGAAGCTCCAACCCACAATGTGATGTATTTGGAGACAGGGCCTTTGTAGAAGGGTAGGGCCCTGATCTAACAGGATGGTGTTCTTATAAAAGGAGATACTGGAGACCTTGATATCTCTGTCCACCACGTGGGGACACAGAGAGAAGGGTAAGCCAGCCTCCTCCATGATCAGAGAGCAAATCACCTGGCACCTTGACCTTGGACTTCCCAGCCTCCAGAACTGTGAGAAACAAATTTCTGTTGGGTAAGCCTCCCAGTGTATGATGTTTATGTTACAGAAGCCCAAACGTAAGATGCTATGTAGGCTCAGGAAGGATAAAGTAGATATAATTCAATGAATGGCATAAAAACAAATTAATGAAGTAATATGAAGAATGTCCCCAGATCTTGGACTAAAAGGATAGAAAAGGAAAAAATAGTAATAATGAGGGAAAGTTGTGACATGAGTACCAGGTGGCCTAATCTACACCTAAGAAGAAATCTCAGGAAGAAAGAACAAAATGAGGCAGATGCAGTGGTCAGAGGTTAACCAAAATAATGTTTCCTAAAGTAAGACTATACCTAATATAGGTCAGAACAAACACAGAGAGAAGGAACCGGGATATAGAGAGGGTTTGTAGGGGGCGAGAGGCATTTGCTTGTTTGTTTTAATGTCAAGGATGGGGCAGGAGATATTTCCAAGTCTAAGCACCATCAGGGAATCAATAAAGGCACAGAGGCAGGCTGGACTCAAACTAGTCCTCTGAACCTAAATGGAAGAAAAAAAAAAAGGGCAAAGAGCAAGTTGTTATCCCTGTATGAATACAAAATACAAACATTTTCAGATAGGCAAGAAATTGGAAAGTACATCATGGGTATTAAAACCACAGCTAACATCCCTAACACACACAAAGAGCTCCTGCAAATCAATAAGAAAACGTCTTCCTCCTGTACATTCTCTACTATACACGCTCTAGTCCACAGTCATGGGTCCCACTCTACAGATAGGCCTTATCCATATGCCAGCTGGTACTGGAGTATGGGATTCCATACTCTCTACCTGCCATGGAGACCTCTTATTTCAATGTCTCAGCGTTTCAAAGCCTGAGCACCAAATGCAGCCAACGTTTCTCCACCCATTTTTTACAAATACCCCTTTACCATTAGCATCACCCCACCCCCCACCCCATTCAGAAGGCCAAAAGTCATCTCAGACCCACTTCTCCCTCATCCACATGACCACCACTTTCTGCCACACAGCTTCTTCCTCCTTCTCTGCCTCTGAAACCACCTCTTGATACGCCAGCATCACCTGGCCTTGTCACCACACACCCAACCTCATGCCACTTGAATGCATTCCCTTGCATTACATCCAGACCCTTAATGAGCTGGCCCCTGCCTCTTCCTGGGACCACCTCTCATCTCTCCTACGAACACACAGTCCTACAGCCACACCAATACAAAACGTGCTCTGCTTGGGCCCCCAGTCTTGGAGTATGGGTTGCATAAGCCCACCTCTGACATCTCCAACACCCAGCTCTAGCCCTCTTCCCATGAGCCCTGTCCTAAACCACCAGGCTAGGTGGGCTGTTCTAGTCCTAAGGCACCCAGCACACCCCCTCTGTCAGATGGCTCCCTGGAGGATTACTCAAGGGCAGGACTGCCCTTCACTTCAACACCTTTGCTCCCTGACCCTGATCCTGGCCAGCGGGAGGTGACAGGTGATGCGTTGTGATCATGAAACTTCTCCATGTCCTTTTCACTTCTGCAGCTCGGGACCTGGGCTTCAAAGCCTGGAGGGCCTCCCTGGGGGCAAAGTTCTGTGCCTTGAAAGCTGATGAGGTGAATGTGTGGGCACAGCCCTGGCCCCTTTCTAAGTTTGTGGGGTTTTCCACCTTATGAGTCTTGATTAAAAAGCAGTGTGCGCAGACCACTGCCCATTATGGGGAATGAAACTGCCAGGCACTGTCTATTCTGCTCTCGCCGGGTGCCCTGGATTCAAGTCACCCATGCTGACTCTAACACCAGGAGCTCGTGAAGCGCTGCAGGTCAGGGAGGCCTCTCTTGGTGGCAGCAGCAGACACTCCCTTCCCAGAATCAACGTGCAGTGTGGTTTAAGGCATTGTCTCTGCTTCCAGGCCCTGGGAGCAATTATCAACAACTCCCAACCACAACATGAGGAGCCATATGTTCCTTTAATAAACGATCGCCTTTTCTTCCACCTTGGCCAGAAGCAGCTTCTCTGCTATTGAGAACCTGGGACTATGATAGAGATGTAATCTTGGGAGCCAAGAATTTGGAAAGTGGTCAGTTATAAACCAGGACCAGACCACAGTACAAATGAAGTGTGGCTCTGAAGGGACAAGCATAGCTTCTGTCTTTGTCTCAAAAAAATGTCCAAACACAATTCTAGAAGAGGAGAGTCACGACGGGGTCGGCAATGTGGACTCCTGGGGTGGCCATCCCAGACCGAAGGGCGTTCTGGTTAACATCTCCAGGGCTCTCGTGCTAACAGGTCACCCCGTTACACTGACTTGGTCTCAGCAAGTTGCTCCTGACTTTACAGATACCGGCAAAGTGCAAGGTGACCTCGTAAATACATCTATTTTGCACATTAAGTACCACACGTGTCTCTTGCACTAGTGAGTCACCAGCATCTTCCGGTTGCCCTTCTCCAATCACTGGGTGGGGTGCGATGCGCTACGTGAGTGACAACAAGTTTGGTTTCCGGCGCAGCTTCATCTTCAAAGACTTGGGGCATATCAGCTGGATCTGCCCAGTGCTGGGCTTTGCCCATGCAGTGAACTCTGCCCTGTCCCAAACACACAAGCACAACATGTATGCACACCGATCAGCCTTTCTCACACCCCTTAGCAGTTGAACAAGGTTTCTTTCTGATCAATTTCCATCCTTGCATTAATCTCACGAGCTGAGTTCATGAGCAGGGTCCCCTGCCGCCTGGCTGCAGCTCCCAGCACCCTGGGAGGGAAGGAAAAGCCGGGTCTTACCTGCCTGTGCAGCTGTGATTAGGGCCGTGTTCCCCTCGTTGTCCTGCCAGTTGACGTCAATGTGGGGGCACTCGGCTAAGACCACCACGGTATCCACAAAGCCGTGGTAGCAGGCGACAATAAGGCCGGTCTAGGAACGAAGAGGGAGGCGGGTCAGAGGGGCAGAGCCTCAGCAGACCCCATGTGCACCCACTGCCCCAGAGGCCGGACCGGTAGCCGGGAGAACAGGGAGGAGCCCGGGTCCCGGTTCCCGGCTGCAGTTAAGACAAGCCGGCCATGTTGGTTGAGTACTGGCCACCGTTGGGAACAACGATCCTGGCCCTCAGGGCTCGTCTTCTGGCAGGAGGAAAACACGCAAACTACAAACCTAACACAAGCCAGTGATAGCGTGTGTCAGGGTGTAGACCAGGGCAAGGGAGGTTGTGAGCCTGGACGGACGTGTCTCGGTCCCAACAGGGGCTCAGGGTGGGCTCCCCAGGAAGGAGGTAAGAGAAGAAGCCAGGGGGAAGTCGGGGGATGTCCAAGCAGAGGCCAGTGCCTGTGTCTAGGTAGGAGCCCCAGGCAGGGTCCAGCCAGGGACCCAGCAGCCCAGAGGCTGGAGCAGAGGGCGCGAGAGGAAGAAGTCGGAGAAGCAACAGAGAATCAAGAGGCCAGCACAGACTCTGGGGTTTGCTGGGGGTGAGACGGGGCCATATTTAGAGGAGCCAGTTGTCAATTTTCTGCATCTACTCTACCTGCTGGATGGAAAACAGACTGGGGTGGAAGCAGTGAGACCAGCTCAGGGGTGCACCTTGACAAAAAATAAATATTAAGTCTTTATCTCCTAAGTTCCTGGCACACAGTCCTTAACCCTTGGAATTTACTGTTTTTTATATGCTAATGAGATGTGTATGAGGGCAGGGCCTTAGGTAGCTTCAGGATGGAAGCCCTGGTATAGAAAAACCAACCACCATCCATCCCCCACCGCCCAAACCCCACCTCCAGGGCAGGGAGAGGGGTAAAGACTGGGCTCAGTCACCAGTGGTCAAGGATTTAATAGCTAGAGCAGAACATGCCTACTTAATGAGAGCTTCATAAAAACCCCTAGCCACAGGGTTTGGGAAGCTTCTGGGTGGGCGGCCCTATCAAGGCGCTGTGAGGAGGGTGGCGCCCGGGAGAGGGCACGCCTCAACCCTTCCCCACACCTCGTCCTGTGCGTCGCCTCCATTTGGCTGCCCAAGTTGTATCCTTGATAACAAACAAGTGACAGAAAGTAAAAGTGTTTTTCTGTGAACAGTTCTAGCAGGTCATCGAACCTGAGGAACCTCCCAGATGTTAAGTGGGTTGGTAAAAAGGCAGCCTCTGGGTCAAGCCTGGCGTCTGAAGTTGGGGGTGATCTTATGGGGCTGAGCCCTTCACCTGTGGAGCCCTGCACCAGCTCTGGACAGTCTGAGAGAATGGAACTAAATTGGTAGACACTTTACTTGTGCTAGAAAATTGGAGTTAGTGTGGGAAAGTGACATGTATTTGGTGTCAGGAAAAAAGCCCCGGGGGGGGGGGGGGCGGCTCCTGCAGATACCAGGCAGGTGACAATCTGTCTCAGGTTTCCAGCCTCCAGAACTGTGAGAAATAAATTTCTATTGATGAGTCACCCATTTTATGGTGTTTTGTTATAGCAGCTGAGTTAAGACGCCTTATAACAAAGGAAAATAATCTGAGGCACAGGTTCATCTCCAACACGTGGATTCATTCCTGGACTCAGTGGTGTGCTACAATCCAACCTGGGGTAACATCAATCTGCAGTTATAGATCATGGGTCCCTGAGCACCGCCAGCCACACCCACCACCTCATGGGGGTGCCCAGCTTAAGTTTAGAGCAACTCCGCAGTGGCCCAGCTCTGTTTTGGCCAGATTTTCAGTAAGAATGTAATTTTTCATGGAACAAGGGGAGGGTATGGGCAACCCCATGTGGTTATCTCAGTAAGGCTCCCTCCTAGTCACCCTCTCAAAAGAATATTAAATCACACGGATTGGAATTTTTTAATTCATCCACACTGCAGCATAATGGACTCTCAGTCTGTGACTATAGTAAGGCTATTTAATAGGCTCCAGTTTGTGCATTCTCCGAAACAGGTCACCCCATCTGTAGAGTGAAATGTTTCAGAACAATTTAATTTAAAGAGAAAAGAGCATGAAATGAGCCCAGGCAGATGACACTCAGAAGCTGTGAAGGCTTTCAGTTTCTCTGAACATCAGACTTCACCACCACCACCACTTCCATTTTCCCAGCTATCTTGGCTGGCTCAGAGTTGCATAAATGGTCCAAAAACTTGTGCTTCCTGGTAAGCACCAAAATCTCATTTTGAACTTTTTTGGACGCAAGTATTTCTCAAGTATTCTATGATTTCCTGACATATAAATAAGGCTTGCTGGACACAATGTAACTTCTTTTTTATATAATCACACCAGAAACTCATGTTTGTTACAGAAAAATTCTGCAACCATAAAGAAAAAAAAAATTACCTATGCACTCCACACACACACACTTTTCTTTAAACCAAAAAAGGATTATCTGCTCTATGTTTCCATGAGGAATACATCAGCAACATCTTTTCACATCAATAAAAAGACTTCCATGTCAACATTTCCAGCAGATATGGAGTAATATAATCTACATTTGGCAGAATCACAGTTTTTAATAAATACCTACTCTTGGATACTGAGATTATTTCCCATTTTTCTCTATTTGAGTTAAGCCTGCAAGGAAAGTCCCCACAGCTAAGGTTTTGTGATATCCCTCCTTACTGTCTCAGGAGATATTCTTATAAGGAGTATTTCTGGATTAAAGGAAAGAGGTATTTTGCAAGCTTTGAACACACCTGCAAATCTGACCTTCAGGAACACCACCAAGGACATCCGCCTTTGCCAGGCCAGCCGTCCAGCCTGGATGGACTCTGAGTTAAAAGGAGGAATTTCCAATGGCAGATAACAGAGGGGTGCTCTCCAGTTCTCCAGAAGTACCTGGGTCCCAGTTCAGTCCTCCTCTCCTTTACCTCTGTTCCTGGCCACCCCAACCACTAAGAGGGCCTGTTCTGGAACCACAGCCCCTTCCAGCCACGTAAGTTAGCCAACACTTCCCAAAATGTGCAACACTGAAAATGTCAGCATAACCTTATGTCAGAAACAAAGATTATCAGGGGGAAAAAGATAACTAAACATGAGGGCACATAATAAAATTGTATCAGACACCAAAGTTATAGCTTTTGTCTTCCCATACAGAGACCTCCATTACTCTTCAAAATCATTACCTTTATCCCTTACCTTCTAGGCATGTGTTCCAAAAGTCTGATGATTTCCATGCTTAAAACTAGTGTTTACCTATAGTTTCAACTCTCCGTTTTCGCTGGAGAGTCTTGGTGCCTCCAACAGGAAAGTGGAAAGGGAGGTACAATCTTTGACAATCCCTAACCATGGTCTCTCAAGAAAAACTGTAACAAAAGACTTGTCACAAAGGCAAATATTGTCCACTTGCTAAATCAACAGAAGTCTCCTCACAGACGGTCCCTGAAGCCATAAGCAGTTTGCTTTTAAAATTTTAAATTTGCCAGAAGCAAAATGTTCATGAAAATAAAATAATGTTATCAAGAAAAAAAAAAAGTCAACCTGCAAGTGGAAGCCTCCAGGTCACCTAGAAATTCTAGGCCCTCAAAACACAAGCCTAATTTTCAAAGCCTACACACCATAGAAAAGCCAGAGCAATAACAACACAATGACAACAAAAATAATAAGTTGAGATGTTTCCACTTAAAAATTATAAGGGTCTGTACATCAAAAAACAAAAATACACAAATTAAAACCCCACTCCTTTGCAGGAAGAAAGGATGATATAACACCAGGATTCTAATGACATCATGTATTATGTTAACAGATCAAAGGGGTGGAGAGGGGAGGAAGATAGTTGATCATCATCTCAACACACACACAAACACATACACACGCGCACACACACACACACACACAAACCAGAAAACATCTAGAAGGATTACACCAAAATATTAAGGGCAAAATCCTCTTTAGAAGGAATGGGATTGGAGGAGGGGGTATGTTTGACTGTTTATTTTGTGTGTCATCATTTCATATGTACCCGGACATTTGGTCTAACATTCTAAATGTTTCTATGAAGGTATTTTTTGATGAGGTTATCATTTAAATCAGTAGCTACCAAGTAAAGCAGATTGCTCTCCACAATGTGGGTGGGCCTCATCCAATCAGTTGAAGACCGCAATAGTATAAAGACAGACATTCCCCAAGCAAGAAAGAATTCTGCCGGCGGACCATGTCTGAGCTTGAACTGCAACTCCTCCCTGGGCCACCCTGCAGCTTGGACTTGCCAATTGGTTCACTCCACAATAGTGTGAACAAATTCCTTAAAAATAATCTGTGTGGTATATCTATAGATGTCTGTAAGTAACATACAGTTAGATGCAGAGCTCTAACTATAGATCTCTGCATGTACGTGTGTGTGTGTGTGTGTGTATCTATTTGACTTTACATGTATCTACAGATAGCTATAGAGACACACACACTCCCTATTGGTTCTATTTCTCTAGAAACCCTGATTAATAGCGAGCAGTTGTGGAAGGAACACTTTGGAAGAACAACTTTTCACTTGTCACTCTGTATGTTTCTATACACTTCGAATTCTTCCAAAGCTGTATTCACAAGGAACATACATGATGCTAATTCACAGTGAAAAACAAGCAAACATAATGTTTACATTAATAATGTTCTCATTAGGAAATACAGTGTTATAACCACTATTGCAAACAGCTGAAGAAGAACCATCTGTGAAGGTGGGGAGGGCAGTGGGCAGAGGAAATGGAAGCTGACAAATAGCCAAGGGAGGAGACTGGGATGCTGTGGAGTGCACGATCCCACAGCCATATGGTATGGTAATAGTCTAGTAATTATCCTGATCACCCAGAAGGAAAGGGTATTCCCCATGTTCTAATGTGAGAAAAAATTCCATCATGTGTAGTATAATTTTTAAAGTTCAGAACCAAGAGAATAAACTTTAGTTTCCTGAAAGTCATTTCTATAAAACACCTTTCTCTGTAGTAATATCAATGAGAGGAACGGGAAAATGTCTAC